TGCGCGTGTGTTTTGTTGTGGCGGTGATGCAGTGATTGTCGAACTGTGCTGTTAACCCGGTGACCCGGGTTCAATTTCTGGCCACGGCTCACACCGGTGGCGAGTGATATCCCAACTGGTCCGAGGCTCCCCTAGGCGGACTCGGTGTTAATTGAGTACTTTGTGTTACTTGTAATCATCAACTCAACTATCTTTTATTTTACTAGGTAAAGGCGGCTAAGCGTGGGGCTGACCACATCACTTTCAAAAAGGGCGGCGCCGTGTTGGCCTTCTAAACAAATGCTTGCTCACAGTATTTTGCCCCAACATTCTACATGGAGGCTATATTGGGAGTCTTGGTGATTGCATCATGTGTGTGTGGAGAGTGGCGATGTGATGGTTAGCGTACCTTCATACAATCTCACCAACTGAGGTTCATCCCCTGCCTGTAATTATGTCTTTGCGCTGGAAATCCATGCTGAGTCTGAAGACTCTCTTTTTTTTTGTCAGGAGGGGTCCCCTCTGCGTTTCAATGTTTGCCCAACACCTGTGGCACCGTGCACACGTGATTTTAATTGTGGGAGGAAACCGGAGAAGCTGGCGGAAACCCACACAGAACAGGGGGAGAACATGCAAACATACAAACTCCACGCAGCAAGGTGCCCCGGTCAGGAAGCCAACCCAGGCCCTCCTTTAATGCGTGGTTTAGGCGAACTGAACAGTAGTTAGTTTATTGTTACTGCGTTCCACCTGAGCTTGAAAGTGTTTGTGCGTTGTCTGCGTCCGTCTGTAACCGGGCGAGGGGCTCGATAACTATTGTAGAAATGATCCCATACGGACGCAACTTTTGTATCAAGTTTGCCGTCACCATTAGGGAGGGACTCAACCTATTCAACAGCGGCCATATTGCAACCGCCGTGCCAACCCAAAAAGAGCGCCGATTCGTTTTTCCGGACCTGACCCCGCATCTTGCCGTGGGTTTTTCCCTGCCTTTGTTGAACGACGTTCCGGCGTGGGAAGTTTGCTCCGCTGTCGCTCTGCGCTCCGGGGGTTGAGTTACAAAAGGGACGAGCGGTGGGGGGTGGGGGGCGGCTCTTCCCTCGTGCGAGCGAGTGGGCGAGCGTGCCCATCCGCGTGTACTCGTCCGCTCTCTCGCGCTCTCTCGCGCTGAACGATAGGCTCCCGTGGCTTATATTACCACGAGGCGTGATTGTTTTCAGGCAAGCCTTGATTTATCCCCTCTTCATTTGATTGCATGTCCCAGAAGAAAACAAATAACAATGCCAATATTGTGCCCGCCGTAAATACAAGCGCGGGCGGCGCGCACGCGCGCAGGCGTGCGTGCGCGCGTGTAATTGACCCCCGCCCAGGAGGTTATGTGCGAAGAGAGCTGCCCCCCCCCTCCCCTCCACCACTTTCATAGGGTTCCGAAAAATATGGCACGTGAACATTGCGTTGACCTCCCAACCTTGCCGCCACCCCACCACCCCCACCACCCCACCAACCCTGCCATGTGGTTCCCTCTTTCTGAGATGTTTGGGTGTCGTGAGACCGACCGGCTGGGAAGATAGGGAGAGACTGACAACGAGCAGGAAAATAATTCACTTTCAGAAAGGGCGGCAGCAACAGAGAGGTTGCATCGCGATCCCCGTGGAATTCCCATGACACGTCCACTTCCTCAGACCTGAAATTATGGAAGGCAGCAAAGAAATTGCTGAATGCTGCATAGTTTTTTTTTTTGCCTAAGTCTTAAATATGAGACTGTCAAAGTGGCTTTGGCAGATTCTTCTGTCAATCGTCTGAAATGTTAATAGAGAAAAATGAAAAAAAAGCAAAGCAACTCACGATTGCATTTAAATTGTCAGGCGAAGTAATGCGCCTCGTGCCAAGATAAATATTTAAGTCTAAATTTTGTATGACCCTCCCCCAATAACAAAAATAAAAAATCGTGTGCGGCAAAACTGCCCGGTGTTACCCGGCGATCGGCAGATATCCATCGCGCCTGGGTCAAGCCGACCCCCCCCCCCGGTGAGAGCGAGGATGCCGCGACTCCCTGCCGCCAGTCACGCGCGGTCGCAGCGCTCCGCGAGCCGAGACGGAGCCACGGACGCCGCGAAAGAAACTTGCGGCATCGGTCTCGGCTGCTCCCTCTTCCGCTCCCCCGCACCCCCGTGGGAAGCGGGGACCCGAGGGCGCGGGGGCGCGTACGACGTATCTCGTCTTGGGGCAGGTTATTTATTTTGTGAATATGATCGTCATGATCGTTCCCGCGGTGTTTATAGTGCGAAAGAGCGACCGCATGTGATGAGCCGAGACGAAATCTGCACGCTCACAAAACGAAAAGCGGTCAGTTTGTTTTTGTTTCCCCTGCGCCCGGAGCCACCTGCGGGACGATGATGACGACAATGATGACGACGGCGACGACGACGGCGACGGCGACAATGACGATGACGGCGACGACGACAATGACGACGACGGCGACGACGACGACAATGATGACGACGACGACGGCGACAATGATGACGACGACGACGGCGACAATGATGACGACGGCGACAACGACGGCGACGACGACGACAATGATGACGACGGCGGCGACGACAATGATGACGATGACGGCGACGACGACAATGATGACGACGGCGACAATGATGACGACGGCGACAATGATGACGGCGACGACGACAATGATGACAGTGACGGCGACGACGGCGACAATGATTACGACGGCGGCGACGACAATGATGACGATGACGGCGACGACGACAATGATGACAGTGACGGCGACGACGACGACAATGATGGCGACGGCGACGACGACGGCGACAATGATGACGACGACGACGGCGACAATGATGACGACGACGACGACGACGACGGCGGCGACGACAATGATGACGACGACGGCGGCGACGACAATGATGACGACGACGGCGGCGACGACAATGATGACGACGACGGCGGCGACGACAATGATGACGATGACGGCGACGACGACAATGATGACAGTGACGGCGACGACGACGACAATGATGGCGACGACGACGACGACGGCGACAATGATGACGACGACGACGGCGACAATGATGACGACGACGACGACGACGACGACGACGGCGGCGACGACAATGATGACGACGACGGCGGCGACGACAATGATGACGACGACGGCGGCGACGACAATGATGACGATGACGGCGACGACGACAATGATGACAGTGACGGCGACGACGGCGACAATGATGACGACGGCGGCGGCGACAATGATGACGATGACGGCGACGACGACAATGATGACAGTGACGGCGACGACGACGACAATGATGACGACGGCGACGACGACGACGACGACGACAATGATGACGACGACGACGACGACAATGATGACGATGACGGCGACGACGACAATGATGACGACGGCGGCGACGACAATGATGACGATGACGGCGACGACGACAATGATGACGACGACAATGATACAGTGACAGCGACGACGACAATGATGACGACGATGATGACAGTGACGGCGGCGACGACAATGACGACGACGGCGACGACGACAATGATGACGACAATGATGACAGTGACGGCGGCGACGACAATGATGACGACGGCGACGACGACAATGATGATGACGACGACAATGATGACAACGACAATGACGACAATGATGACGACGATGGCGACGACGACGGCGACGACGACAATGATGATGACGACAATGATGACGGCGACGACAACAATGACGACGACGACAATGATGATGACGACGACGACTGATGACGACGGCGACGGCGACGACGACAATGATGACGACGGCGACGACGACGACAATGACGACGACGACAATGATGATGATGACGACGACAATGATGATGACGACGACGACAATGATGACGACGACGACAATGACAACGACGACGACAATGATGATGACGACGGCTACGACGACAATGATGACGACGACGGTGACGACGACAATGATGACGACGGCGACGACGACAACAATGATGACGACGACGATGACGACAATGATGACGACGACGATGACGACAATGATGACGACGACGGCGACGACGACAATGATGATGACGACGACGACAATGATGACGCCGACGGCGACGACGACAATGATGATGACAATGACGATGACGACAATGATGACGACGACAATGACGACAATGATGACGACAATGATGATGACGACAATGACGACAACGACGGCGACGACGACAATGATGACGACGACAATGATGACGACGACGGCGACGACGACAATGATGATGACGACAATGATGACGACGGCGACGACGACAATGATGATGACAATGACGATGACGACAATGATGACGACGACAATGACGACAACGACGGCGACGACGACAATGATGACGACGACAATGATGACGACGACGGCGACGACGACAATGATGATGACGACAATGATGACGACGGCGACGACGACAATGATGACGACAATGATGACGACGACGACAATGATGACGGCGACGACGACAATGATGACGACGATGATGATGACGACGATGATGACGACGGCGACGACGACAATGATGACGACGATGATGATGACGACGATGATGACAACGACAATGATGACGGCGACGACGACGACGTGCGTCACTTGGTCTAATGAGCACCTCGCCGCAGTTTTGGGACGTGACCCGCGGCCGCCGTGACGGGGCTGCCAGGTTTCCGTTCGTACGATTCTGCTGCGGGCCTCCACTAAAGGCTCGTTCCTCAAACCATTAAAACTTGTCCCTCGGCAGCGACGCTCCCGCGTCACATGTCCTCCTGCCTGCTCTCCTCCGTGTCCCGCATCGTCAGCGTCTCCCATCCTCCGCCTCTCCCGTCCTATCTCCCATCTCCGCCACCTCCCGCCCTCCGTGTCCCTGTCCGCCGCTGGGATCCGCCGGGTAATCCGCGTGGGTTTCGCTTGGCGCCGGAACAACGGCGGTTCTCGAGTTTCACGGTCGTGCGGTGTCGGTGCGCGAGGACTGCAGGCGAGCTGGGCGAGGAGGCGGAGGGTGGCGCCGAGTTGGCCGGAAATGACAAGTTCCTCGGCGTGGATGGCAGCCTGGAGGAGCAGAAGGCTGGAGACAAGGACCTGGGTACGTTGATCCCCTCCGCCGCCGGCGTCTCCGACACGCATGCATCACGCCGCTGTGGTCACGAGGCCTGCGGAGAGCACGCGCCGCTCGTCACTGCGGTCGTGCGTGGTGGTGGTGGTGGTGGTGGCCGTGGGTTGATGGATCAGACTACCTTCGCTGCCTCCACAGTGCCGGATTGCATGTGTGCGCCACCACTGCCCGCCACCGCCGTATAACAATCCGTCTTTGTTCTACGGTGGTGGCGCATGCCTCCAATTGGGAACTATGCGGGCTGTGAGGGTTGGTGTGGAACAACCTGACCCTACGGGCGTCGAGAAGGCGCCATACCCTGGCTTGCCAGGAGAAGTCGTTTTGGCAAATGTGGACTGATCTCCGTCTGTTCCTTGTTTACGGGTTCGAGTGTCGCCCCCCCCGCCCTTCCACGCGAGACTTTTCTCCAGGCGCTCGGATTTCCTGTAGAAGCTCGCTAATTGGCTGAAACCATCTTGATATGTAGATGACCCCTGTAGAGCTTGAGCAGTTGGCGGTGCCAGATCATCGCCTGGCTGCTGCTGCTGCCGCCTGCCTGCTCATCTGTGGCTCCGCTTCGTGCCTTAGAATCGTTCTCTCTCTTCGAGAGCGAGCGAATACTGTGCGGTGCATTACAAGTTGACATTATTTCTATACAATGTGTGTGGGTCTTTCATAGGTGCTCACCATCTTCAGCGGTAGTGTGGCGGTTAGCGCGCTGCGCTACGGACCCAGCGACCCGAGTTCGATTCCTGCTCACGGCCAACACCAGTGACGATTATCTGTACCGGTCATGAGCCTCTCCTAGGTCGACTCAGCCTCAAATGAGGACCGCGTGCGGTGTGTAAATATCGCCACTGGGGGGACAAAGGCGGTCGGACATGGTGCTAGCCACCCACCCCCTCGTGTGCCGTTCCAGCCTTCATAGGTGTTCACTAACAGCTCTTGCCCCCAGCAGCCTGTGTATGCTGTAGCTTTGGTTTCACAGTGGTTAGCACGCTGCTCTGTGAACCCAGCTACCCAGATTCAACAGTAAATGATATCGGAATGGGTGCTGGGCCTCCTCTGGGTTTACTGAGTCTTAAATCACATATTTTGTTTAAATGGGACTTTATATATGTATGTACGTTGAACTTCTTTCGCACCATACATAGCCAACCGTGCTAATCGGAGGTGCGTAATCATAAATAGTGATAACCCGTTGTCAATTCACTGCTGGATGAAGGCCACTCCTCGCCATATCGGTTGTGGTAAAGGTTGTTTGGCCATACTTCGCCACATCCATTAATGTGAGTCAGCGATGTGAAGGGGGATCTTGACTAGGAATCAAACCACGGGCCACCGAATCGGTAGCCTGGTGCGCCAACTATTGCACGCAATACCCCTACTTCTATTTTAGTTTCAAAGTTTTAATACGCGTCTGTGTGGGGCACGCACACACACACACACACAGACAGCGCGTGTGCTTGCCGTGCAGTGGGACGTTACACTTCTAGAGTTTTCTTTGAAATGAAGCGGGGTACACAATGTGCGGCTAGGCCGACCTTTTCTGTTACTCGGCGTGCCCGCCGCAGAGCCCTGTGTGTGTGTTTAGCTTATCTGGGGGTTGCACAATTCGGGCGAGAATTTGTGAAAAGTAATTGGTCCGCTGCTCGCCCTCCCACCCGCCCGCCCGCCCGCCCGCCCGGCCAGCCGGCTGGGGCCCAGCTCGTTCCACCGGACGACGCTCGCGAGCGGCGAGCGCGGACTGCGGCCGACGTGCAGGCGTATTGAACGTTGGCTAAACGAATTCAGCCCTCACCATTTGTAAAATATAAAATAAGGTGTTTGACTGTGTCTGACAAGGCCAAAAAATTACATTTGACATCGACAGACCCGCCCCCCCCCCCCTCCCGGGTTATTTTCCTGACAGTCTCATTAAAAGAGACTAATTTAACCCGTTTTTAATATTAATGAAAATCCAGGGGTAATGACGGCGGCATTCCACTCCATCTCGCCCTGTCCGCTCCCGTGCTGCTGGTTTTTGAAAGTCTCACATCGCATGATTCATGCTTTTCAAGCCACTGCTCTGCTGCAGAGTGGCAGTGCTGATAAAATATTACTGTTGCATTTGAGTTGATCGGTCCTGCACAGCTGAGCTGTTGTTCCCATAACATGCCGATCACAAGTGATTTAGATCAGGCTTGACGTGTTCAGCATAAAATTTCCGCATCCGAACCTTACCATTCATGAATTATTCCTCCAGGCTTTTTAACTCGCCGTTATTAAAGCATCTGAAAGTGGGTCACACTCGTGGTGCGCCCACCCCTCCACGTGGCCCCTCCAGCCTCTCCCCTCTGCATGTAGGTGGTCCCCCCCAGCCTTTGCTTACAGATACACGTGTTGTTTTAGGCCCTACTCAATGTACACAGTCCGCCGATGATAAACAGACCGCGGATGGGAACCAAACCGCACGGGGTGGCTGGTGGTGGGGGGTGGTGGAGAGGCACGAGCCCCCCGTCAAAGAGGACACGGCCGGGTTCGCCATCTCATTTCCCTAATGTACTTGTTTAGGCATCGGACAAAATAGCGCGCGGACACGAGCGGACAAATCACGCCGCGCTCGCCCCCTCTTGCTCGCTCTCCCTGCCCCTTGTGCTCCATCTCCCTTTCGCTTTGTCTGCCATTTACACACCGCCGACGCATCGCCTCCAGCGACACTGGCCGCCCAGACTCTGACACGCTCTATAAATTTCTGTCTGCCATTAGCTTCGTGTGCACTCTGACCACCGGTGGCAACGGGGCCATGTCCACGGTTTTGCCGAAGCTTGGCGGTGGCGGTGGCGGCGGTGGTGGCGGCGGTGGTGGCGGTGGTAGCGGCATCACCCTCGTGTGTTTTGTGGTTGCGTGTCTGTGTGCGTCCCACGCCGGACAGGGTCGGGTTGTGTGTGCGCGCGTACGTGGGGTCAGGAGGGTGGAGGAGGGAGATAGCGAGGAGGGTGCGGGGGTGTCGTGGCTTTTACTGGACCTGACATTTTAGTGTCTGGAGCTGTGTCGTTGGGGTCAGGTGTGGTTAAATCAACCCTGCGTGGCATCGCTCGTCGTGGGTCTGGGGTGGCTGCTGACTCTGGTGGAACATTGCAGAGTCTTGCTGCGGTCTGTGTCGTGCCATTATTCTGAGTCCACGTCAAGACCACCCAAAGCTTAATTCCTCACTCGATATTTTCTGGCCCCGCTGCTAGACGGAACTCGGCTTTTGACAAGTAGCCACAGCCAGAGGCAGAGGTATACTGGATGCGGTGCAGAAATATTCAGCGGGGCAGCAACCCAGACAGGCCGCGCTGCTATTAAGCTGTGAAGCCACCTATTAAGCATATACACTTTAATTCCAAACAATATGGGTTTTTAGTATTTAATTTGGAGCCATTCTCATTAAGTTGATGTTTTCACTTGGCAGTGCTGACACGTCTTATTTAATAAAAACAACTCGTTTGTTTTTATTTTCTTCTGTTTACGTGGCCGCGCAGCGCTGTGTGTGAGCGAGGCCTCTGGCGGACGGCGGCACGGTCACCGCGGTAAACACGCACACACACGCGCGCGCGCAGGAGAAGCCAGCCACATTTGGTCACGTCCCGTCACTCGACGCCCAGTGGCATGTGCGCTCGAGCTGCGTGGCCCTAATTGCAGGGACAGCGATTATTTTTTTTTAACGGATGAGGAATCGCCGTCGTTGCGAATCCTAACACCTGCCGGCACGGCAGCCCCACCGGTGGGTCCATCGCCTACACAAGGGTGCGGCCGAACGGCGCCCGGCCGCTCTCCGTCCCGCCCCGTTCGGTTCGCGGCCGACTTATAAATCCCGGGCCCTTCATTTATTATTTAGCGGCAGCGAATGCACACAGACTATCAAGCCGAGGCTTGAAGTGCGGACACGGAATATGACTGGAGGGGTGAATTTTACCCGCACGTGGCACCAGACGCCTCGCAACGTGTCAATTAGTGCGGCAGTCAAGGCCAGAGGAAGCGTACGCGAACAAAAATAATAATAAAACTCCCGGCAGCTGCGGAATAGATTTTTTTTTACCCCTTTTGTTATCGGAGGGTTGATGGGCGATGGCGTCTGTCAATCAGCGCCGCCGAGCGTGGAGCCAGCGGCTGCCACCCCCCCCCCCCCACCCCCCCCCCACCATCTCGTCCGCCCCGACCGCAGGAGCTCCCTCGATCCGAGCCGACTCCCGCCAAGGCCGCACGAGCGTCGTCAACTTTCAGACGAACAGAAAAAAAAACGCGCGATGCAAACCCCACGGCTTCCACATTCGGCAAAACGGCAACGCAATTTCTACCGAGGCTATTTTGCTCCGAAAACTTGACACGTGGGGCTGTATCTGCTGTGGGTCACGAGCTTCGAATCCTTCCGCCAGCGACGTCCATCACAAAGATCTCCTCCAATGCTTCCGCTGAGCCGTAACGTTCATTTGGCCACTGTATTGTAACCCGATCCCTTTTTCTGCACTGTTTAAATAAGTATATACACGTTGTATATCGTCGATGTGAAGCCGTTGTTTATTTATTCCAAAGGATAATTTTCCATCTAATTTGTTTGCTTGAATAAAAATGCTAAACAAAGTTTTTGTCTAGCGCCCTCCTCCCGGTGCTTATCTGGCATCATTTTGATTTGACCAATTTCAAGGTGATTAAGCAAAGTTATTCGTTCTCGGCTGTAATTTCTGAACAACTCGTATAATTGTTTTAATAGCACACGACCCTTCAAGTGCACTGTTTTATATAATCGCCTGGCCCTATAACGGTTTACTCATTTATATTCATTACGAGTGGTTGTCTCCCGCAGAAAACTTGACAGATTTTAATTGGAATTGTAAAAAAAGCAACTTTCCATACCATGAGCTTTAATGGGGAAATTGAGAGTGGGTGCCAGAGGCTCTCGCTCCTTTACGTTACCCATATGTTAATTCGGCCAATTAACCACATGCTGGCAGCGGGTTTCTTTTCCCCAATAAGAAGTATAAACGCATCATTCTCTTAGCCCTCGCCAGTGTCGCGAGCTTATTAATCACATTGGCACAGGTATGCGGACTCCCACCCAGCCCAACCGCTGCCCCCTACATCCCAATCCCCCCGCCTCCACCCTCCTCTCACTCTTTCCCACCGAAGAGGCCGCATTCTTAAAAACTCATTAGGCCAGCTATGCAAATCCCGGGCAAGGAAAAGGGAGAGAAAGTGAGAGAGAGGGGAGGGCGAGCCGGCGAGTGGCTCACTCACTGTACCCAGCCCCTGCGTAATTCTAAACAGCATGTAAAGAGCGATGCAATAAAAATTCCCGAGATGGCTGAAGAATCTCTGGGGTGGGAACTTTCCGCGGCGGACCCACAGCTGCAGCAACAAATTACCACCCTTCTGTGGCAAACAGAACCACTGTTTATCAAATCCACTTTTATTTTTATTCCTCCTATGTCTCACTTCATGCTAAATTAAGTTTTTATAATTGTGTTTTGTTAATCTGCATTTTTTGTGTAGCTCGGGTCATATGGCCCCAGTGCCTGTACTGGATTTCGTTTTCATGATTTAGTTTTCATGATTTACTTTTTATGATCTTGGGCTTGAGGACGATTTCAGCAAGTGCAAAGCGGTTGCCGCGTCGGATGGCAGCAAGCGTAGCGGCCGTCACGTCCCGCGGGTTTCCGCAGCGTCCTCCAGCTACTGCGTCTCAACTCCAGCCTTCGCTCATCATTTCCGCTTGGCTCTCTCGACCGTTCAAAGCAACTGATTGGCTCAATGGTTTACAGCTGACTCTTGAACAGTCGCTCTGCAATGGCCATCAGAAGCAGAAGAAGAAGAAGAAGACAATGACGACTCGTTGCACATCACACGCGACTCTCTCACCGTAGACTCATCAAGCGCTGCCGCACTGTGCTACATATCCACGGCCGAACAGAGGACCGATTTCCAGCCCACAGGGTAACATAAGTGGTGAGCGATATCCGAACTAGTTTTGGGTGGCTCTTTTCACCAACTGTACTTCACTAGCATGGTTGAAGTATGGCTAAACAACTCGTGTCACCGACACAGCGATTGGAGGTCTTCATCCAGAAATGGTTTTCAAAGACGCGTTAGTTTTTTGTAATGTTGCACGGGTCGTTTTTAGAACGAGGCCGCACGGCTCTGCTCACCGCAATCCCTGGGCACGACATTCTCCTTCCGGGCAGCCAGCAAATAACAGCGCTCGGGATTAGCCCGACGATCAGGAGCAGTGTGCACCGGTACGTTCCCTCAATAACGAACGGCCCAATTTGCTCTCACGTGAACCTCGTTCATGAGCGGGCCCCACCCCGCGTTTGTGCGAGAATGAGTTACAGCCGCCGGCTTCCGCGCCGTCTCCAAGCGCAAGTTGAATCTAAAAAAAAAAAAACAGCATTCGTCACCCGGCGCTCCCAGGATTGGTTGCCAACAGACGTGCTTGATCACGCTGTCAGATTTTTGACAACACAATTTAGAAATATTTGTTAATTTGACGGAAAACGAAAGCAAAGTCGGGGTAATGACTCCTTTCATTAATCACGTTTGATAATAGATGGTGGTGCTGCTGCTGCGTCGACATGCGCAATTGTTATTTTTATTGTAAGCCGGGGACACGGATTCCTTTGTTATTGCCGGCGTGCCTCCGGTGCGGGGAACGTGTTGTGTTTTGAGGGGCCTTCAAAGCCATGAGCGGAGCTCAAATATGACGGCGATGCGATTTGCGCGACTCGCGCGCTTAGAGAGAGAGGAGAGCGCTCGTTCACCGCGCGGGTACGCTGCCGTGGGAGGGCTGTTTGACTTGGCCGCCGCCGCCGCCGCCGTGCTCGCGCCGACTTCAAACGGCGCGCGACATGCTCGAGCGTCCGTCAAGGGTTGCGCAACGCACACGGCACCGAAAAGTTTTTTTTTTAGAAAGCTGCCGATTGGTTTACGCGAGGACTCAGGCTCTCCTGTATGCAAGGTTGAACGAGCTTTGCAGGTTTTACCCTTTGTTGCGGTATTAACACCGGAACCGCAGCGGGGCTTAGCTGGCTATCGAGTGCGCAGGCGGTGCAACTGGACCGGGGCCCACGGCCGGAGGGGCCCGGGTGCCGCGCGCTACTTCGAGGAGTGATATTGGACGGGTGTGGGGCCCAATTTCAATTTTCGCGCAAACGGGCCCCGCCATGCCCAGCGCGCCACCGCACTGAACGTGCACTCCGCGTCCGAACTCGAATCTAACCGCTGAGCAGGTTGACCAACTGCAGTGTCGCTCACTGCCGAGAGTCCACGCAGAGATGTTGTTGCTTCTGAAGACGCACGACACAGCCACCGTTTGTGTAATGTTTGCTGGCTCGATTCCCACTTTTGACTGCTCGACTGTACTGGTATAATTTCTTTTTTATATATATATTCACCCACATGCCTTAAATGGTCTCAGTTCATTGTTGTATGGAAAAGCACGAGCAATTTTGCGCAAATGAAAGAAATGTGTCGAAGCCCTGAATGTCACATTAATGTCAGAGCCTCCACGCGCGAGGCGTGCAAGGCACGCGTGCGCCAGTGCCATCACTGCCGTCCTTGTAGATCCACTCGGCCGTGGATTGCCAGCCATTGAAAGCCGCCTTTTGTGGTCACAATGATCAGCACTCAAAAGTTTAATCTTTGTGACATACCAATATCTTCAGTGTCCTCGAGCTAACATTCACAATGATTATCCCCGCGCTTGCCTCTTTGAATAATCACAGCGCTATTTTGCGTACGAACCGAGGCTGCGCGGGCCCCTCTGCCGCCCGTATTGGCTTTGTCCACGCAAAGCTTTGTCTCTTGCGGTCATTTTACCTTAATGCAAAATTCCACCCGATTGGCGTTTTCCTTTGAGTGCCGAGGATAGCGAATCAATTAAGAGGTTATTTAATTATATTGCATCAATGGGAAGAAGCAAAGGGGGGGGGGGGGGGTGATGAACAGTAATCATTAATATACTGACGAGTGTACTCGGTGAGCTGTGGATCAGGACTTCTTTGTGCGGGTCTTAACCCGGACCCTCATTTCCTGTAGCCGATGCTCTCGGCTATTATTAACCAATAAGACCACCGCGTGCATCGCCCAGCAATCGATACATCTCTCAACTGCTTCTCCACCCCCCCACCACCCTAATTCCGTCGCGAGCAAGCCAGCCCACTTGCTGACGTGTTGCATTCATTGTCGTGTCTTGTTTGTCGTGGTGGTGACGGCGGTGGCGGCAATGGGTGGCGGCGGCGGCGGCGATGGTGGTGGCGGTGGATCTGGCAGCCACAGGCTTTGCCGGGAAGGAGCAGCCGGGGAAATCTCCCGTCGGGAAGCGCCCGTCTCTGCCGGATGGCGCAGAGGACCCGGGTCCTGCAAAGAGGCCCAAGCCCCTGGAGGACAAAACCCCGGCTCATGAGCAGGTGCCAGCGCGTTCCCCACGTTTAGACGCATCGTGTCGACGAGCCGCCCCCTCCTCACTCGCTCGCGCCCCAAGCCGACGATGTGCACCCACGACCCTCGATCGCACGAACTCTGCCGTCCTCTTATCTCGCGCCGCCATCACAAAAGGGTGCTTCCCCATCGGCAGGAATGACCGACCGGCGGCTTGCCCCTTCGCGAACTTGCTGCTGGCACAAGTTAATCTTTTAAATCACGTTAGTTTTACACGTTAGTTTAGAGCATGTAGAGTGCTGTATAAAACCACATCAGCAGCAGCATGATCACTCCACTGCTGCATGAAGGCCTCTCCAAGCCATCGACCTAATGAATCCACTCGGCATCTGCGTGCGAGCTCTTTTCATCGCCTTCGCGGTGTTTTTCACACGCACACGCGTACACCTCGTTGTGCACACGTGCACACGGGGTCCGTGCATCGTCGCGAAGTCGACGAGGAGCCCTCGCGTGTCGCGCGCTCGGCCGCACGCCGCACGACCGCACGCTGCGCCCCACGGCCGGACACGATGCGGGCGTCACTCGGTTCACGCCGCCGCCCGCCCCTTCTGCACAGGTATACCAGTGTCCCTACTGCACCTACTGCTGCGCCGACGGGAGCCGCATCCAGATGCACGTGGTGTCGCAGCACTCGGTGCAGCCGGCGCTGCGCTGTCCACTCTGCCAGGACGTGCTGAGCAGCAAGATCCACCTGCAGCTGCACCTCACGCACCTGCACAGCGTCGCCGCCGACTGCGTCGACAAGCTCATGGCCGTGGTACGGTCGCGCCCCCTTGCCTCCCGTCGGGTGTTTGTGTTGTCGTTTTGACCCTGCTGCACCACCGCACCGTCGAGGCCCGGGGGGGTGTCGCCCGCCGCTGACGGCGGCCGTCAGCGGCGGACTCGAACTCGGGGCTCATGGCGCAGCGTGCGACCTGCCCGCGTCATTCTCTTTTTTAAATTCGTAATACTGATATTTGCGGTCCCTGCGTCTCGTTCACTCGTTCAATAGATGTTCTGCACGAGTAATTGTCACGTAGTGCGTGTCTTTGTGTAGAATATTGCACGTGGGGAATGAGAAGTCTCATACGGGTGATACAGAAACACACCACGATATAACGGCTAGACCTTGGATCCGCCGCCCGACTGCCTGGCACCGAGACTCCGCCACTGTTCCGCCCATTGCTGGGACTTGTTCATCGTGTGTCGCCTAATCGGTCGAATGTCACTCGGCAAATCGGCATGTTGGTGGCAAATATATAATGGCCAGACCATTGGAGAGAAACTTATTACTTAATTGGGCCTCCTGCACTCTCGATTCTAAGAGCGTTGGTCCTCTTTCCACCTGCAAGCGATTTATTACAAAACCTCCTTCCCCGGCTCCGCCGATTCCCAGCGACACCGATCTCTGAGAGGGGACACTCGAGCCCTCTGGCCTTGCCAGTCCCTGTTTACGCATCGCCTGCTCAATGGAGCTGTCGTTGACCTCCCCCGTACGCCAGGAGGTCGCCCTTTCTCCACGCCGCCGCTCTCGCGGTGTCAAACGGATGTCACCTTGCTGTCAATGGCGAGGGCACTTGTGACTGTCTTAAACAGAATGAAGACTTATCTCTTCTCCATTGCGCGCCATTGATTTTGTTAAAAAAAAACCTTCGCTCTCCCGGCCCATCCCGTTCACTTGTGCTTGGTACCATACAGCGCTCGACTTGAATTAATCTTTCAAGGTTCGGGGAAATTATCCAATCTTCATTGACTTTTACGTTCTGAATGTGGCCTCGCATTCCTATGAAAATTCGAAAGGAATTATCCTTGGCTATGAATGAAGGGGGATAAGGGGAGGTTTGATTGACACGAGTAGAGACTGCAGGAAAATACTTGACACTTGACCTAGCCTTGATATGTGCGTGTCATCGTGATAGCGCCGATTGTAAAGAAATGTCCAATTTTCAATGAGGTAATTCAAATTCTATGAAAATTCATAATTGAATGCACTTACACGGCATCCTCGGCCTGTGGTACAACCACCGCCCACGCCGCCCTGCGCCTCTCAAGTGCGGTGCGGAGAGTCAGCGCGGAGAGTCAGCGCGGAGAGTCTGTGTGGAGAGTCATCGCGGAGAGTCAGCGCGGAAAGTCTGTGTGGAGAGTCATCGCGGAGAGTTAGCGCGGAGATTCAGCGCGGAGAGTCTGTGTGGAGAGTCATCGCGGAGAGTCAGTGTGGAAAGTCAGCGTGGAGAGTCTGCGTAGAGAGTCAGCGTGGAGAGTCAGCGTGGAGAGTCTGTGCGGAGAGTCAGCGTGGAGAGTCAGCGTGGAGAGTCAGCGTGGAGAGTCTGTGTGGAGAGTCAGCGTGGAGAGTCATCGCGGAGAGTCAGTGTGGAGAGTCTGTGTGGAGAGTCTGTGCGGAGAGTCTGTGCGGAGAGTCAGCGTGGAGAGTCAGCGTGGAGAGTCTGTGTGGAGAGTCTGTGTGGAGAGTCTGTGTGGAGAGTCAGCGTGGAGAGTCTGCGTGGAGAGTCTGCGTGGAGAGTCTGCGTGGAGAGTCTGTGTGGAGAGTCAGCGTGGAGAGTCTGCGTGGAGAGTCAGCGTGGAGAGTCAGCGTGGAGAGTCTGTGTGGAGAGTCAGCGTGGAGAGTCAGCGTGGAGAGTCTGCGTGGAGAGTCTGCGTGGAGAGTCAGTGTGGAGAGTCTGTGTGGAGAGTCAGTGTGGAGAGTCAGTGTGGAGAGTCTGCGTGGAGAGTCTGTGTGGAGAGTCAGCGTGGAGAGTCAGCGTGGAGAGTCAGCGTGGAGAGTCTGCGTGGAGAGTCTGTGTAGAGAGTCTGGGTGGAGAGTCATCGTGGAGAGTCTGTGTGGAGAGTCAGTGTGGAGAGTCAGTGTGGAGAGTCAGCGTGGAGAGTTTGCGTGGAGAGTCTGTGTGGAGAGTCAGCGTGGAGAGTCTGTGTGGAGAGTCAGCGTGGAGAGTCAGCGTGGAGAGTCTGTGTGGAGAGTCAGTGTGGAGAGTCAGCGTGGAGAGTCAGTGTGGAGAGTCTGTGTGGAGAGTCTGTGTGGAGAGTCAGCGTGGAGAGTCAGCGTGGAGAGTCTGTGTGGAGAGTCATCTCGGAGAGTCTGTGTGGAGAGTCAGCGCGGAGAGTCTGCGTGGAGAGTCAGCGTGGAGAGTCAGCGTGGAGAGTCAGCGCGGAGAGTCTGTGTGGAGAGTCTGCGTGGAGAGTCAGCGTGGAGAGTCAGCGCGGAGAGTCTGTGTGGAGAGTCTGTGTGGAGAGTCTGCGTGGAGAGTCTGTGTGGAGAGTCAGCGTGGAGAGTCTGTGTGGAGAGTCATCGTGGAGAGTCTGTGTGGAGAGTCTGTGTGGAGAGTCATCACGGAGAGTCTGTGCGGAGAGTCTGTGTGGAGAGTCAGTGTGGAGAGTCTGTGTGGAGTGTCTGTGTGGAGAGTCAGTGTGGAGAGTCAGTGTGGAGAGTCAGCGTGGAGAGTCAGCGTGGAGAGTCAGCGTGGAGAGTCATTATGGAGAGTCTGTGTGGAGAGTCATCGTGGAGAGTCTGTGTGGAGAGTCAGTGTGGAGAGTCAGTGTGGAGAGTCTGTGTGGAGAGTCAGCGTGGAGAGTCAGCGTGGAGAGTCAGCGTGGAGAGTCTGTGCGGCACACTCTGCTGCTGCTGCCTACCCCTCCCCTCTCACCTCGCTCTACCCCCAGGCCCCGTGCTCTCCTACCTGGAGCTATGAGTTGATAATATTATTGTGGAATTAATAGCGAAGTCTTTTTTGGGTTATCGTCACAATGTTTTGTTCCTTACGTTTTAAGTTGGCTTTGCGAAGCACCTCGAGTTGTGGTCGTGTTTAAATGCTATATATTTTTTGTATGTATATTCAATCCTACATGTTATTATTGTTTTACACTCCGCTCTGTAGACCGGCATCATATTGCGTGTGTTTGGAGCTTCCACTAAATCTCATCGTGCGTGGAACGGCGGTGGAGTGGTCAGCGCACTTCGCTACGAACCCGGTCGCCCGAGTTCGATTCCCGTTCACCGCCAACATCGGTAGAAAATATCCAAATTGGTGCTGGCGTCTCCCCTAGATCAACTCAGCCTTAACGAGTACCCAGTGCGGTGTGTAAACATCAGCACTGGGGAGATGACGGTGGCCGGGCGTGGTGCTCTTGCCAAGTCCAAGCACGTGAGCTCGGAGGTGGCGCCAAGTGTTAAAACGGGAACTGCCCAAGTCCCGTGTCGCCTGCCTCACTGAAGCTTGCGAAGATAAGTCGATGCCTAAAATGTTACCGTTTTAGCTTCATCGCCGGCTTCATCACCGGCTGCATCAGCTGGCTTATGGCCATAATGAATATGAGTTATTCAATATTTTATCCCTCCCCAGGCAAACATTGTCCCATTCAAATGTCAGGCAAGGGGTGGGCAGGCTGTGATTTACATGTTGAATCAATATGGATTTTGGAACCGCTGCCCTTTTCAAAATTGTTATATAAGCTTCAACAACGCTATTTTGGAAATTATTCATAAACGCCGGGTAAAGGTCTAAGGTCCGAGAGAGGGGTAAAAGGGAAGGGAAAAGAATCCGTCGTGCTCTTCCATTAGAAAAAAAAAATATTGAATGTTGCAATAACAAGATGAGCTCCCCGTTGGAACGGCGCGTTCCCCTCGCATTTTAATTGATGGCCCCTCGCGAGGTGAAAAGGCGGGAAGCTGTGACCACGTTGTGCGATGCACGGCCGCCCTCCGTGTTTTAATTTATTAAGGCACGAGACACAAACACACACCTAAGTTCAGACCCGAATGAAGACGCCCCCCCCCCCCCTCCCCGCCCCCCCCACCTGCGTGAATTAAAGGACTGAAACGGCTCCAAGGCAAATGCACTTTGTTTGTTGTAATAATCGATCAAATGATTCGGCACAAAGAATCCCGGGGCCTCGCCGCAAGTTGTTACAGCTGCAGCTTCATAAAAAGGCCCCATTCATTAGTTGCTCCTCCTCAGGCCGTTCCGCAAAGCATTTGTACAGCTGGGAGCTGTATATTAGTTCTACTCGGCACAGTTAGGCGCGGGGACCCCGCTGCATTCGGAGTTCTAATTAGCATCCGCGCCGTGCAGCCCGACACCTTGAGCAGTCGTGACAAAATGGGGGGCCACTCTCGCTCAAGGTATAAAGGAAAGGGGCGGGGGGGCGCGCGTAAAAAAAAGTACTCATTATCATGCCCTACGGTGCGGAAAAAGAAATGCATCAGGGTGAATTCCGTGGACGTGAGTGGCAATCCCGATCACGTCTGTTATATATTTTATGCAAAACCAGTCACGGTCTGAGGGAGAGATACAATTTTCGCTTCATGCGTTTCCGTTTCAACTCGCCGCACAATTGAACGTAGAATTTAAAAGTCGACGGTCAGACGAAAAAAACGCGTGAACTGCAGATGAGTAAATAGTTTATTTTTTTGTTTTGTTGCCATGGCGGACAAACACAAAGTTCCGGGAAATTGCACGTCGCACAGCAGACATGTTTCGCAGCAGACGCGTTGTGCAGCAGACGCGTCGCTCAGCAGAAGCGACTTGCAGCAGACGCGTAGCGCAGCAGACGCGATGTGCAGCAGAAGCGTAGCGCAGCAGACGCGTTGTGCAGCAGACACGTCACGCAGCAGACGCGTCGTGCAGCAGACGCGTCGCTCAGCAGAAGCGACTTGCAGCAGACGCGTGTGCAGCAGATGCGTCACGCAGCAGACACGTCACGCAGCAGACGCGTCGCTCAGCAGAAGCGACTTGCAGCACACGTGTCGCGCAGCAGAAGCGATGTGCAGCAGACGCGTCGTGCAGCAGACGCGTCGTGCAGCAGACGCGTCGTGCAGCAGATGCGCTGCGCCCCAGACGCCGTGTGAAGCAGACACGGTGTGCAGCAGACACGATGTGCAGCAGACACGATGTGCAGCAGACGCGTTGTGCAGCAGACGCGTCGTGCAGCAGACGCGTCGTACAGCAGATGCGCTGCGCCCCAGACGCCGTGTGAAGCAGACACGATGTGCAGCAGACACGCTGTGCAGCAGACAAGATGTGCAGCAGACGCTTGTGCAGCAGACGCTTGCGCAGCAGACGCCGGCGCAGCAGACGCGATGCACAGCAGACGCGTCGCGCAGACACTTTGCACGGACACGCCGTACAGCAGACGCACCGTACAGCAAACACACTGCACAGACTCGTCATACAGACGGCCTCGTTTCGCCGCGGGGATCTTGTTGTTGCGAGGAACACGCGAGATATCATCGTCTCACGCCTTCCGCAGCACGACCTTGATTATTAAGGCAAAACCTCCTCGGCAGTCGCATTAATGAGGTGGGTCAGGAGCGGGCCTGCATGGCCCCCCTCTTCTTTGAGACGCCTTTTTTTTTTTCCACGGGCCCTGCCGCCTCCCTCGCCTTTATGAAATTTAATACCGCTCCGCTGAAAAACGGCCGCCCCCTCCACCCACGAGGGGAAGCGCCGGTGAGGCCGTAATGAGAGTGCACTAAATCACCAAGAGGTTACCCTTCCTAGCAAAGGTTGTGCGGCTGCCCGTCGCAGCCAAGTAATGAATTGGCTCCTCTAGGTTTGTCTTAATTTTCTGCAGAATTTTTTTTACTCTTTTATATTTTATTCTTGTGGTTTTTGCTGATGGAACGATTTTGTCAGTTGCAAATATTTTTCTGAGCGTACAGCGGAATGGCCAGAGACGGTGAGCGGGGGGGGGGGGGGGGGAGATGGCGGACGTGGGAAAACGCTGTTTCGTGATGCGCAGCCCGTGTGCGGCGGTTGTGTAATTATTTCTTGGGCGCGCACGAGCGCTGCGCTTCTCGCGAAGGCTCGCCGACCCGCGCCGGTATAAGTGGGATCTCTTACAGAATCTTTGGGGGGATGTATTAGCCACTGAAGTACATGGCAAATAAATTAGACGCTGCCATCATATTTCCTCATTAACTGTCACTTGGAAACAATGGATTGTGTTTCTATTAGCGGCTGAGAACACGGGGTTATTTTCCTCCGTAATAAGACTCGATAGCGTGTTTATTATTTTACTCGGGATTGTACGAGAGCGGAGCAGCTAGATAAATATACGCATGTTTACGTTGTGATCGCAATTCATATTGCTTAAAAGCTACCGTTCTGAGCGATTAGCGTTGGGTAACGATAAATAAATAACACACTGTGCACGTTTCGTGTCTACGCGTGAATGTATTACACCGTTTGGTCCGTCCGCTTTATTGGCCCTTTAGACTTGGGTTCACCGGCAGCAATCGTGTTTTAGCGAAAAAACCTCTGCTGTACCGGTTTCAACGTCATGGGCCTCATCAGCAGACGTGCTGAGCGACTGTTCAGGCTGTTTTTTCGCCGGAGCACTCCTCATCGGAGCAAAACGCATTCGTGTACGAACATTGTGGAAACGCCTTCCTATCCGCATCCCCCGCTTGAAAGTAAAATACTTTGCCTTCTCTGCCGCCCTCCGGAGCGGCGATAACTGCCAGCCTTTGTTTAAGCAAGCAAACTATACAGCGTTAGTTTCACTCTTTGATTATTTTTTTAGGATAAAAAAAATACGTACAAATGAAAATGGAGTAATGTGATAATTGTAAGCGTAGCTACGCGACATGAAAACATCTTTCTCATAAAGGAACCTTAAAGTATATACGGCCAAAAATATAGAAAGCTGTGAGTGCGGTGTGAAAAATAGAGACGCGAATGGGAAAACAACCATCTCATTACCATTTACATAGGCGCCTTCTCAATTATGCCTCTGGTAATCTCACTGCAATTACGCGAGTAATTAATTTATATCAAGTCATTATTCTGTTCGGGCAAAGCTCCAAAGTGCCACATCATTGTTTCTTTTCAACGGGGTACGAAATGAACCCATAATAAGACCCATTGCCTTTTTACAAAAAAAAATGAGAAAGTGCGTGTGGCATTTTGCACTAATTCAGTCAAAAGAAAATGCTGTGAATGGATCCTCGGAAGCAGATGCTGCATCCATTGTGACCTCCGCGAGTGTGCAGGTAACGAGCGGCTCTCGCCGTCCACCTGAAGGACAAAAACAAAGGCGCTCGCGGCTTCCCGCCGAGCAGAAAAAAAGGGCTTTGTGAAATTGCATTTAATACCCTCCTCCTCTTCCCCTTCATCGCGGCCGGCTTGACACGGGCTCGTTGGGGCTGCCCGCTAATCAGTGCGGCGGTGGCGGCGCGTGCGCCCGTGCCATTTCCTGCAGGTCTCGGGGCCGGAGGTGATGGTGCCGAGCAGCACGTACCTTTCCGCGGCCGGAAACGCGGGTGACGGCGTCGACGACGGCAGCGACCGCGGCAGCCACGGCCACCACCACGGCCGCTGCTTCCTTGGGATCGGCGGCGGCGGTGCCGGTATCCGAGAGGGACGGCAGGATGCCGGGGTCCGCGATGCTCTCGAGAACCGGGCCAAGATGGGTGAGGAACGCCGCGGTGTTTGCCCGACGCAGCTTGTGCGTGACATGCGCAAGGTAGCGGCGGTCTTCGATCTGTAGAGGTTGTCGGCTGGATGCGTTCAGCGTGTGGCGACGTGACGTTGCGAGTGCTCCATGTCAAAGAGAGAGACGCTGTGTAGGTTGTAATGAAAGTAAAAGAAAAAGCATTACGGGTTATTTCTGGCGAAAATAAATAAATTTTATTACATCCAGTGTACCATTGTTATCTTCAGAGGCTACAGTAAATACATATACCATTTTACTTACGTTAATAATTTACGGTGCCGAAAAAATTATCATTTATGGCTTTTAATTACTTCTGTGTGGCTGATTATGTGCTGCTAGTGCCTTGTGTGAAAACAAAACCATCCATCACAATCGAACCCAACGTTTGTGTTTAATAATCATACGCGTGGCATTGTGGAGGAAACGCTTAACTTCCCCGGCGTGTTGACCGATGCAGCCGTGAGGCTTGTTCGTTCCGTAGTAACGGCGATGCCGTCGCGCGTCTCTTCCAGAAGAAAACTCGGACGACCCAGAGAAGCCCGGCACTTCTCAGGAGCGGCCGGAAGCCGGCGGGGTGCCGCAGAGCTCGCAGAAGGGCTTCCTCTGCTGGAAGAAGGGCTGCAACCAGTACTTCCGCAAACCCAGTGCGCTGCAAGCCCACTTTTCCGAGATCCACGCCAAGCAGCGGCAGCAGCTGCCCGTGTCCGACCGCCACGTGTACAAGTACCGCTGTGGCCAGTGCAGCCTGGCGTTCAAGACGCCGGAGAGACTGCAGCTGCACTCGCAGTACCACGCAATCCGCGCCGCCACCGTCTGCGCCCTCTGCCAGCGCAGCTTCCGCACCATCGCGGCGCTCGGCAAGCACCTGGAGACGGGCCACCCCGAGCTGAGCGAGGCCGAGATCCGGCAGCTGTGCGGCGGTCTGCAGGGCAACGGGGAGCTGCTAGCGCTGGAGGAGGGCCTGGGCAACGAAGACGAGGTGGCGCTGCTGGCGGAGCATGACAGGGGGGACGAGTTTGAGAGCGACGCCGAGAGCAAGCAGAGCCCAACGGAGAACGAGCTGGGGGGCGGCCCGGACGACCCATCGTCGGACTTGAAGCGCACGCTGCCCTTTCGCAAGGGCGCAAACTTTCCGATGGAGAAGTTCCTGGATCCCTCGCGGCCGTACAAGTGCACCGTCTGCAAGGAGTCGTTCACGCAAAAGAACATCCTGCTCGTCCATTACAACTCGGTGTCGCACCTCAACAGGCTGAAGAAGGCCCTGCAGGAGACATCGATCGCCAGCGCACAGGCCGACTCGGCCCCGAGCGGCATCGACAACAAGCCGTACCGCTGCAGCACCTGCAACGTGGCCTACAGCCAGAGCTCCACGCTCGAAATTCACATGCGCTCCGTGCTGCACCAGACCAAGACGCGCGCCGCCCTGCAAGAGTCGTCGGTCGCAAACAGCGCGATCGGCGCCAACACCCCCGCCCCCTCCGGCGGCACCGCCGGCAGCGGCAGCAACGGGAGCGGGAAGAAATTCAACAGCGGCGGCGGAGGCGGTGGCAACAAGAGCGCCGGCAGCCCGTCGGCTGTGGAGAGTGGCGGCAGCGGTGGCAAGGTCCCGGGCCGGGCGTCCACGAGCAAAACCCCCGAGCTCACGTCAGAACAGAAGCAGCAGCAGCAGCAGAAGAAGAAGGCGCTGAGCGACGCGATTTCGAACCAGCAGGCGCTGGTTCAGGCGCAGACGGAAGCGCTGGCTCAGGCACACGCACAGGCGCAGTTCCAACAGGAGCTGCAGCAGGCGGCGTTCTTGCAGCCGCAGCTCTTCAACCAGGCGCTCTTCCCAAATTTCCCCATCACCGCCGAGGCGTTCATGCAGCTGCAGCAGCAGCAATTCTTCTTCCCCTTCGGCCTGGCCGGCACCGATTTCCAGCTGCACCCAGAGATGGCATTCCCCGCGTCAAGCGCTCTGGCAATGTCCAGCTCGGCGGCTTCGACACTCGGCGAGCTGAAGCAGCAGCAGCAACAGCAGCAGCAGCAACAACAGCAGCAGCAGCAACAGCAGCAGCAGCTGCAGCAGCAACTTCAAAAGCAGCAACACAGGCTGGAGCAGCAGCTGCAGGTGTCCATCCAAGCAGCTGAGAAGCAGAAAGAAAATGAGGACTCAAAGAGTGGGGAGGCAGACGAGGAGGAGGAGGAGGCAGCGGATAACGACTCACCGATGGCGGACACGCAAACGAGCGGCGACAATTCGGACGCTCAGAAGTCGGGACCGTCGGACCCGTCGCTGCTGCCGCCACGAATCCCGGCCTACGCCAGGGGCAATGCCACGAGGGCGCTGCTGGAGAACTTCGGCTTCGAGCTGGTGATCCAGTATAACGAGAACCGGCAGAAGCCTCTCCGGAAGGACAAGAGTGTGATCTGCGAAACACTGGGGAAGTTAGAATGTGAAACGTGCGGCAAGCTCTTCTCGAATCTGCTGATCCTGAAGAGCCACCAAGAGCACGTGCACCAGCAGTTCCTACCTTTCGAGGAGCTCGAGAAATACTCGAAGCAGTACCGAGAGACCTACGACAAGATTTACCCGATACGCGCCCCAACGCCCGAGCTACCGGCTCTGCCCCCGCCTCCTCCTCCCCCTCCTCCTCCCCCGCCTCCTCCGCCGCCTCCTCCGCAGCCGGTCCAAAAGCTCGCCACCCCGCCCGGCACGCCGCAGCCGCAGCCGCTGGCCCAGCAGCAGGCGCCCGTGCCGCAGCTGCCCATGTCCATGGAGTCGATGCCCCTCCTCTCGCCGCTGATGATGCAGCCGATGCAGCTGCACTCGATGGCGTCGCAGCTCGCGTCGCAGCTCATGCCCATGGACTCTCTCACCCCGGACCTGATCCAGCTGTACCAGCAACACCAGCAGCAGCAGCAGCAGCAGCTTGACCCGGCGTTCCTGCTGCAGCAGCAGCAGAACAAGCGGCCACGCACGCGCATCACGGAGGAGCAGTTGAACATTCTCCGAGCGTACTTTGACATCAACAACTCGCCGGGCGACGAGCAGATCCAGGAGATGGCCGACAAGTCCGGCTTGCCGCAGAAGGTCATAAAGCACTGGTTCCGCAACACGCTGTTCAAGGAGCGCCAGAGGAACAAGGACTCGCCGTACAACTTCAACAACCCGCCGTCGTCGAGCCACGACGAGATCAAGCTCGATTCGCAGCCCCCGACACCCGAGTCGGTGCAGTCCGAGCCGTCGTCCATGAGCAAGCGGTCGAGCCGCACGAGGTTCACCGACTACCAGCTGAAGGTGCTGCAGGACTTCTTCGACACGAACGCCTACCCGAAGGACGATGAGCTGGAGCAGCTGTCGAACCTGCTCAACCTGCCGACGCGCGTCATCGTCGTGTGGTTCCAGAACGCCCGGCAGAAGGCGCGAAAGAGCTACGAGAGTCAGGTGGAAGGCAAGGAGGGGGGGGAGAAGAGGGAACTGCCAACCAACGAGCGCTACATTCGGACAAGCAACCTCAACTACCAGTGCAAGAAGTGCAGCGTCGTCTTCCAACGCATATTCGATCTGATCAACCACCAAAAGAAGCACTGCTACCGGGACGAGGAAGACAGCTTCACCCGCGAGGACAGCCAAACGGAGGACTCCATGGACGCCACTGATCAGATCATGTCCAACGACCTGCCACCGTCTCTGTCGGCTCACGTGCAGGCCACCGGCCTCTGTAACTCGGAGAGAGAAGAAAGCAAGAAAACTATTCCCAAAGTCGAGCCTAGGGAGGAAAAACCAAAGCAAGCTGAAGCTGCTGCTGTGCCGCAGGAAAGCACTGCGCAGCCACAGCAGCAGCAACAGCAGCAGCAGCAAAAACCAAAACACGCACAACCTCAGCCGCAACCTAGTCCCCAGATGACTCCGCAGGTACCTCAAAGTCCGGTCCAGAGCATGGCGACTCCTCAGCTGAACAATCTGCCCGCCCAGCTTCTCCATTACCAGTGCGACCAGTGCAAGGTCGCGTTCCCTTCCTTCAACCTGTGGCAGGAGCACCAACGCATGCACTTTTTGTCGGCGCAGAACCCGTTCGTCCACCCGGCCGCGTTCCTCGACCGCTCCATGGAGATTCCCTTCCTGCTCTTCGACCCCGGCTCCAGCGCGCTCATGTCAAGCCCCATGCTTTCGGGGGCCCTGCCGCAGATCCCCTCGCAGTCGACGCCGTCCCCGTCCACCCCCACGTCCGCCACGGGGCCACCCAAGCCCGAGGAGAAGGCGGGCGCCAGCAAGAGCGACACGGACGGCGGAGAGGAGCCGCACCGGGACAAGAGGCTGCGCACGACCATCACGCCGGAGCAGCTGGAGATCCTCTATCGCAAGTACATGCTCGACTCGAACCCCACGCGCAAGATGCTGGACCACATCTCCAACGAGGTGGGCCTCAAGAAGCGCGTGGTGCAGGTGTGGTTCCAGAACACGCGCGCACGCGAGCGGAAGGGCCAGTTCCGCTCACTCGGCCCGGTGCAGGTGCACAGGCGCTGCCCGTTCTGCCGTGCCCTCTTCAAGGCGCAGACTGCCCTGGAAGCCCACATCCGGTCCCGCCACTGGCACGAGGCCAGGCAGGCGGGCTACAGTATTGTGCCGACATCGCCCGGCGCCGGAGAGAATCCGCACAAGGATAACCCCTTCGATCACGGCGACTTCTCCTTGTCGCTGTCCCACTTCAATAGCTCCTTCGACCACGAGCATCAGTCGAGTCTGATGTCGCTGATGAGTAAGTCGATGGAGGTGCCCAGCCACGCTCTCCTGAGCCAAATGTCCAACAAGAGCGAGGCCTTCGACGTGGACAATTCCTCGCTCGCCAACGAAACGTCGGCGGGCGCGGCCGAGCCTCCCGGCGGTGGTGGCGGCGGCGGCAGCGCCGACGACGAAACTCCCGCCGGAACCTCGGCGAACGTGGGCTACGAGCAGAGCAAACTGGACAACGACGACGCCTCCTCGGTGAACACCGCCATCACCGACCACACAACCGGCGACGAGGCGCACGGCGACAACGACGTCTCCGGCGGCACCGCCGCCACGCGCGCGGACGCGAAGGCGCGAGGCGTGCGCGTGAAGAGCGAAGACTCGTTCCTGCCGCCGCTCCCGGCGGCCGAGAGCAGCGACGGAAGGTCCTCGGATGGGCTGGCGAGCCCCGGCTTGAGCGTGTCAACGCCGCGCGATCACGACCGTGCGCGACTACAACGAAACGTCGAGCTACACCGGCACTCGCACGCCCAGCCCCACGGGCAGCATCGGCATCTCGCTCCCGAAACTCGGGTCTCCGGATGAGCGGCCCGGCCAGAAGAGGTTTCGAACCCAAATGTCCAATCTACAGCTAAAGGTACTAAAAGCTTGTTTTAATGACTACCGTACACCCACAATGCAGGAGTGTGAAATCCTAGGCAGTGAGATTGGGCTGCCCAAACGCGTGGTGCAAGTGTGGTTTCAGAACGCACGTGCTAAGGAGAAGAAGTCTAAGCTAAGCATGGCCAAGCAATTTGGGATGGACCCGCAGACAGGGTTGGAGCTGGGTCCGAAGACGGAGTGTGGCCTATGTGGCGTGCAGTTTGGCGCGCGGCTGTCCATCCGTGACCACGTCTTCTCCCCGCAGCACATCGCCAAAGTGAGGGAGAGCGTGGGCAGCCAGCTGGACCGGGAAAAGGAGTTCCTCGACCCGGCCACGGTCCGGCAGCTCATGGCTCAGCAGGAGCTTGACCGCATCAAAAAGGCGAACGAGGCAATGGGCCTTTCGGTGCCGCAGCAGCTGCAGCAGCAACAGCTGCAGCTGCAGCAACAGCTGCAGCAGCAGCAGGGCTCCTTCAATGGCCCAGGGCTGAGTGTGTCGTCGGCTTACTCCGCGATCCCGGGGCTGTCCCCCATGCTGATGTCCGGCGTTGGAGGGTCTCCTTCGTTGCAGAACTTCACTTCGACCTCCACCGGTAATTGTGATGACGTCGCGTTGTGTGTTGCAGCGACAGAGTTTTGAGTCGGACTTGGATCCATATCGAACGTCGGGCAATTAAACGGCGTTTCCTTTGAACGAGCCGGACTTTGCCGATGAGAGGACGAATGTCAAAGCCGGTCAAGAGCTTTGCTTGTGGTGAACCAATGCTGCTGAAATTACGCACTCCCCAGATGGGCCCTACGTCTGATGGGATCTTTAAAAATAAAAGTTTGTGTTCATGTCGAGGAACAGACTCGTGAAGGGGAGGCAAAATTGCCGATTAAATTTTTGCCACCGATGATTCTGCCCTGACATCGTTCGTGACTGATTTGCTTCTTGTAAGATTATGCAATGTTAATACGATGGTGCAGTAATAATGGGGGAGCTCTTCAGGGAGCTCTTCATCCAGCAGTGGATTTACCACGGTTCACGATAACAAATGGAAGAATAACATTTGTTTACATTTCATTCTGTGTATATATTTTATGTTGCAAACATTATTTATATTTAGCGCTCGCTGACATCCACCTAACAAGCAAGGAAGCATTTGTATTCACAAATTTGTATTCACAAATGTGTTACTGAATCATAACTAAGGGACGTTTTTTTATTTATCACAATGGAGCAAATATAAACATTGATAGCGACACCCCATGACCCTGCTTAACGCAAATGTGATCACGGGGTCTTTAATGTTCAATTTGCAGTGCACATCAGGTCTGTCAATTTGCGTCAGGAATTACCAACTGGCTGCGGAAATTGAACCGCTGACTTCATGAAAAAGTCATGCAATCAATCGGGCCACAAGGCTGTCTAACCACCCAAAATAACGAAGATATTTCTACCGTTTCATCGTGTGTCAGTGTGCCGCGTGGATACGTTAGTTTTTTTTTAATGGGGCTTGTGACGCACGCACGCACGCACACACGCACTCACGCACGCGCACGCACGCACGCAGGCACTCGCATGCACGCACTCCCACGCACGCACACACGCACACGCACGTACTCACATGCGCACACACGCACACACACGCACGCCGGGGGTGGTTTCACTCTGCGTTCGATCTCGTCAGATCTCGGACGCTAAGCAGGGGCTGAACCTCGATAGCGCTTGGATGGGTGTGACCACTGCATGCACACAGCAGGCCGCATCACAGACAAATGCATCGTTGTACTTTCTTCTATGCTGCCGCATATCTACCCTCCTGACCTTCACCAACCCATGCTGATCAGAGTGGTGAAGTATGATCAAACAAATCCCCGTGATCCATAGGGTGTGGGAAAGCCCTTATCTAGCACTGGGTTGATGAAAGGCTACTGATACACAAGTCCTAGTGGGTCATATGATAACAAATATTAAAATCAAAATGCATCCGTGTGCGCGTGCGTTTGCGCGTGTTCGCAGCCATGGCTACATCCACCGCAAGCCTCATGGGGCTGCCGATGTCCTCCATCCCTTCGCCGGGCCTCTCCCTCTCCGGCGCGGTCAAACCTCAGCAGCCGCGAATGTCCACGCCACCAAAGTCCGCCTCGGCACACCAACCCGAGCAGCACGGCAGTGTGAAGAAGGAGAAGGAGGCGGAGAAAGAGAAGCTGAAGCTGTTGGCGGCGGCGGCGGCGGTGAAAAAGGAGAAAGCGGAAACCGCCTCGGCCACGGCGGCCCAGGAGGCGATGGAAGGCGCCATGGAACACTCCCAGCTGCAGGCCCTGCAGGCCGCGTTGGCCGGCGACCAGGCCACAGCGGCGGCGCTGCTGGCCGGGCAGCTCTTCCCCTGCTTCCTGCCGGGCTTCCCTCCTTACTTCAACACCGCCCCGCACCACCAGATCCCTCCGGCGGCGGCTGCGGCGGCCGCGGCGGCAGCGGCGCTGCAGGGTGGCTACCTGCAGCCTCTGTACGGCATGGAGGCCAGCCTGTTCCCCTACGGGCCCGCCTTCGCCCAGGCCGCCCTGGCCGGCGGTCTGGCGCCAGGCTCGCTACTGCACCAGCAAGTGCAGCAGTACCAGCAGAGTATGCAGGAGGCTCTGCAACAGCAACAGCAGCAGCAGCTACAGCAGCACCAACAACAACAGCAGCAGCAACAGCAGCAGCAGCAGCAACAACAGCAGCAGCAGCAACAACAGCAGCAGCAACAACAAAGGATGAGTCACGCGCATTCAGCAAACGGCTCCTCCATGGAGCACCAGCCACGCATTGAGCTTGCTAGCGGACAACCCCCAGCCCAGCAGAAGGCCGAAGATGCTGCCTTTAAAGTGGAAGAGAAGAGCAGAGCATTGAGCAAGACTCCCGTTTTGAGCCAATCTGAACAGTACGCCGCAGATTTTTGCGAAATGAAGTACAGCCTGGTTTGCCGCAAGTGTCAGACGGTGTTCAGCGATGAAGCGTCGGCCCTGAGCCACCAGAAGTCGTTCTGTTACTTTGGGCAGGCCTCGGTGGACGGCCAGGAGACCCTGCTCCGCGTCCCTTCAGGTCAGTACCACTGCTCGGCCTGCGAGGTGGCCCTGCTAGGGGAGGACGGCCTGCGCCGCCACCTCCTGTCGGCCTCGCACCGACAGCGAGCTGCCAAACGAGCCTCGACTGACGCCAAAGAGCAACAGCAGCAGCACGCTAGACTATTACCTCACTCCTTCCCCACCCTTGACACCGCGTCTACCTCGCAGCCTACAACCGACAATGACAACAACAACAGCAGCAGCAACGCAGCCACCGCAAGCACCATGGCCGCCTCCCTGGAAGCCATCCTCTCCACCGCAAGGCCCTGGTCCTCCACCCCGGTCAACCCGCCGTCCCTCCCCCATTTCTTGCCGGCCGTTACCTCAAGCTCTCTCGGCTCCTCCGGAGCCCAAGCCCCCGGCGCCGCGCTGGGCGGCTGCTCGGACGACTCTGAAGGAGAGCCGTGTAGCCCGCAAGGAAGCGTCATAGCGGCCGGCGGCTCGGAGCGAGAGAGCCTCTGTCCGTGAGGCCTTCCCCCCCCCCCCCATACCAACCCACACCTCCCCCCCCCCCTCTCCTCCGCAGCTTTTGCTGGGCGTGAGCCCCCTCAAAGGCCGAGGCGGGCCCACTTGGAGGCGCAGCACCCTCAGACAGCATGGTTTAGGGCATGCGCACTTCGGGCTCTGAGCGAAAGAGAGACTGCTATTGAGAGAATTGCACACTGCGCATGGATCCTAGAAACGATGTATCCCCCGAATGGCTAGCTAGTATTAAAACCCATAGGTGTGTAGATACAAATTGCTTACACTCGGTGGGCCTTTTGACAAACTGTCGTGTCCTTGCCAGTTGGGCTCAGCTCGGATTGAAACAAAACAAATATTTATGGCTGCTGATGCAAACCTTTAAATTTTCTAAGGGGGTAAAAAAAAAAAGTCGATTGGCCCTCCTTCCCTGACTCTTTTTATCTAAACGGTCCTGGCGATGAACACGGCAGCCCCACGCGGTGCGCGAAATCCCGGCCGCGGTGTCGGCCCCGTCGGCCCTGTCGCCCCTGTCGGCCCTCGCCGTGAGAGAGAGAGAGGCCTCTCGGCCCGGGACGTTTCAAGGCAAAAGCATTTACAGCGCAGGCCCCGACAGCTGCACCGTGCGTTTGTTACACATAGGTAGGCGAGAGACTAAAACAAACTGAACTTCTTAAGCAATTAAGATTCCAAAGTTTATAACAAAACCAAAAAATAAGGAAATTGGGGTCATTCTCCCGTATGTATAAACCTGCTCCTGGTATACGGTGTTCTATGAAAATAACTTAAAGGTACAACAATGTATTTTTTGGTCTGTTTAAAGGCGCGTAGAAGCACTTACCTCAACCCTACCCGATAGTATCTGGAACGTACAGTACTTTGTTTTTTATTTTAAATGGGAGTCTTGTCTGAGTTAAGTGCCAGTGTATTCCTTACGAGATGATGTTTTTTTTTTTCCTGAAAAGAATTTATTGAGTTGTTACTTTGCTACCTACCACAAACATTCACGGTTCCGTACTTTTGAGTCTCAGGTCAATACAGATAGAACGACAAAGGTTTTCTTTTGGGTGTCTTTTGTTTTGACCGCATAAAAGTGCGAAGGCTGTTGCAGTCCGTGTCATTTTACCTTGGGGTCGTACAACGTTACCGTCTATAATGCCACAATGGTTGGGTTTTCGCGGCCAAACTTTGGACAAAGTTTCCAGCCGTGAGAACCTGGCCGCTCTACGAGGCATTCACGTCGACATCGAAGACAGTCGCCATCGGTTTTTATTTACGCAATCCATGTTGATGGGATTTAAACCATGACCACAGATGCCACTAAACTCCACGTTTCTCTGCTGAATAAAAAAAAACACATAATTTGTAGGCCTAAGTAGCTCTCTCTATATATACATAGAAAAAAATGAGAAAAATATGGAAACGAAAACATGCATCAGCCATGGCCTAAATCTACTGCTCTTAGCCTTCCTCTCTAGCTTTAACTCTTCACGCATTGGCGTTGTTTTGTAGAATCTGTAGAAATTGTGTAAAAAGGAGGCGGTGCGCCCCTCCGCTTTAAGACGAGTCGCCCCTTTGCTTGTGTTGCGTTTTGATGTGCACTTGCACCACGATACCTCGCAGCAGTCCGCCGCTTGCGCTCGCCGTCGTGCCCTCGCGCCCTCCCCTCCCTCACCCCAAACCTGGCGAGGCAGCCTCTTGTGCAGTCAACAAAACGGTGTCAGAAGTTGTTTTATTTTATTTTTTTCCTCCCTTTTTTTGTTTTTGGGTCGTTCCCTTCCTCTTTCTCCCTCTTCACAATAATCCAAAGACGACAATTGTAACTGTTGGTGCATAATCGAGCGAGGTATTGTATACTTGAAAAAAAAAACTGTGTTGAAAAAAAAACTATTAAAAAAACAACCAACCAACAACAGCAACAGCATTGGCAACATTTTTGGCGAGCATTTCGATAACATCGATTGAGCTTAAATAACGTTTAAAACAAAAGAGAGAGCCGTTTTTGTTTGTTTTCTCTTCGCAAGGACGTCGTTGTTGTTGTGATGCGGACTTTAACACGGCTACGGATGTCAACATCTGGGCACTTGTGTTGTTACTGTAGAGATTTGTTTTTTTAAATCGGTAAACATATAAGCTTTATGTTGCCTCGCGTCGTTTAGGCAAGCGTCATGCCATAGTCACCCGAGTGGTTTCTTTATTTTGCTACCACGAGCCTGGCGAGAGAGAGCGAGAGAGAGGGCCTGGGCGCAAAGCCAGAGCAGCTTTTGTTTTCTAGGTGCAGTTCTCATCGGCTGTTACATTGGAACTCGCAAGACTGTGAACACTGCTTACATCCCACGAGATAGTAATGTATTGAGAAGGATTTTGTGTAAAAAATAAATAATATGAAGGCCCATTACTGATTCATTCCAAAGTATTTAATAGCATCTACGGGAAAAAAAGTATGTTTTTAGTTTGAAACATGACATATATCCAAACAGTTGTATATATATTATCAGCATCGTTGCCTATTACGCAACTTTACGTTACGTATCTGCCATCTCGTAGTTTTGTTGTTGTTTTTGTTGTTGTTGCTGAACATAACGAACCCCTTTATACGTTACAGATCAATCGCTGGCATGTTCCTTAATGTCAGGCGTGTTACATTTCGCTGATTATCTTAAGTTAAATGTGTCTTAATGCAAGACTTGTACAGATGTGTATTTTGTTTTGCCGCTCTTATTCCCTGCCGCCTCCGTCATCTCTCCGTTTTGTATATTTTTTCGGTGAAAGGCTGTATCATTTTTTTGTCGCGCGACCAGTGTCGATATGTTTTGCTGTTTTCGCGCGTCGTCGATTCGGTGACCTGGGGAGAAGGGGGCACAGCAGCAGCAGGAGGTGGAGGAGGTGTGGAGAATGGCACGGGGAGCTTGTATAGTTGCATTTAGTTCTTGACGATGACAAAAAAAAGAAACGCGGAGAGGACCTGGCCTCCTGTCAACGGTGCAATGTGTCCAGTCTCTACTCATGCAGGGTGTGGAACTGCTAGAAAACCTCACGACGCTGTCCAAAGACTTTCTTCTGATAACGAACTCTTAACCCTCAAAACCCTCAGAGTGCAAACCCCCCCCCCGCTCCGACACCCAAGCGGATCCAAAGCATGGGGAGGAGATGGACGAGGCTGTGTGTATTCGAATGGGCGTGCAACTGTCTGCATTGTGAAAGCACTGAATGAAAAAAAAATAAAGAAAAGCTTTAAAAACTTCAATACACTTTCAAAAGGTGGCCAAACATTTCCAAAGGATTTTACTTCTTCTTCTAATTCTTCTTCGTATTCTTCTTTGCCACATTAAATAAACTGTGATTAACTGTGGCAACGAAGTAAGCGAGGAGGAGCATTAACTCAAGTCGTCGTGTTTGTTCTCGTGTCTTGATCGTTGTGAGAGGCGATCGCTCGCTTGCGCAGCCCGCGCATCCCCCAGGGGTGCGCGCCTATGGCGCGAGTCTCGACCGTGTACAATTCGCCGTAGGTTATACAATTCTCATAGCTGTTGACTGTAAGCTGCACACTAAACCAAAAAAGTACATGTTCTTGTTTTCTATGATAGTCTTTCGGTTTTTCTTTTGGTTAATGTAACCTCTGAACGTCTTGACTAAGCTGTGCCGTAACACAGTAAAACTAATGAAGTAAGAAAAAAAGTCTTTTTAATTATGTTGCAAAACTTGTCATAGATATGTTTATTGTAGATGTACTGGTATTTGACCCTATAGTATGGATCTGCTCGTTGTGATACATTAAAAATTGATATGACCAAAATAAAGCTCATGTCTGTGTTTCATGATAATGTTGTTCATTATTGTTGTTATTTGTTGAAATATAATTCAATCTGGTTTTGTAGGTTTACGGGGGAGGGAGCGGTGGGACAGTTATTAGCACGCTGCACTATTGACCTGGTGACCTGAGTTCTCGCTCGAGCAATGGCTAACTTTAGTGGCACGTGATACACCGCGTGGTGAATTCTGTTCAATCAAGCCGCCATTGCTGACACAGCGAGGGGAGGCCTTCATCCAGCAGTAGATATAAAAAAGGGCTGAAATTATAATTAATATTAATTGATGAAATTCACGATGATTGTCCATGGTGATGTGCGCAACATTTGGGGAGCAGTAGTGGTCAGCATTATGCAGTACGAACCCGGCAACCCGAGTTCAATTCCCACTCATGACCAATAACTGGCGAATATTCTAACCAGTCGTGAACCTACCCTAGGTCGACTTAGCCTTAAACAAGTAACTGGTGCGGTGTGCATATATCAGCATTGTGGAGGCAGGCGGCACAGACGTGGTGTCGGCCACATCGTGCGTGCCGTGCCTGCCTTAATAGCTGCTCGCTAACGGCGCTTGCCCGTGCAGGCCGTTGAAGGCTATATGGGTGATCTTTGTGTTTGAGTGAGTGAAGTGCGAGTCGGGATGCTCTGTAAGAGGAGGAGGATAGAATGAAAGTGAAAGCTTTCATGGAAACGGCACAAGGGCGCATCCCTCACCTCCCATGACCCCCAAATTCCCAGGGCCTCTGTTTGGGTAACATGTTTGTGTCTCGGCGCAGGCAATTCCTCTGCACAGCGGCTTCATTAGGCAAAGCGTTTACATTTTTCTTTCATAAGCATCCTTGGTGGCGGCGATCGTTTGAAAGATTTATTTGTTGAGGTCGAAAAACCTGCGCATAATGAGGTTCTTTAGAATGCCGCTGTTTTGGATTGAACGGGGCACCATTAATTTTTTTTATATGATGGCTCAACAATATACGTGACTGGCCATATACAGCAACATTACATTAACACACCTGGCTGTCGATTGAGTCTGAAAACTGAGTTTGTTTCCGGACCTGGGTTTCCCTGATTAAACAAATGCTGCAGTAAAACATTGGTCCGCGAAGGACCACAGATTTATGACCTAACATATTAAAAAAAAACTGTCTTCATGGAATAATAGTGGACCTATGAATACGCGTGCGTTGCTAGTCTTGTGCACGCACCGTCAGAAGTCGTTGTGAACAAGCGCTCGGTGTGCGTGGACATCGAAACGTGCATAAGGTCACGTTTTTAGATGTGGAAATGAGACCGTTCAGAAAACAACACGTCGAGACTTTATCAACATTCTCCCCGCAGTGTTCCGTCTCTGACGGCTCGAGTGTCGATACGATGTTGGGTGTATCATCAGAAATCATTACGCGGGCTGCGCCGGGTATAGAACGTACTCATTCGAAATGCCGCATATATTCCCCTTGCCGCCTTTTTTATATAGAACATTTCCATTTTACGGAAAACACAATTTGTCGCAGTGGTGGCCGCGGCCATTGCATCTCGCAAAAACCCACCCAAAAATCCGGCGAAACGTCGTCCGAGCGCCCGGCGGGTATTTAAAAAAAAAATCCGTACATTTGCTTCAAGCAAAAATGCTGACGCGAGATAAGCTTAGCCTTGATCACAGCGGGTTATTGCAGAAATTTCTAGACTGTAGGAGCGTCAGTATCTCTCCCACAGGCCACGATATATCAGACACATCAAAGGGAACGGCAGAGCGCCGCGCCGCACCACCACCAACTCGCTTTCGTTCCCCTCCCCACCAGTTTCTGAGCTCCGCGGGCCTCGAATAAATTCCAGGTGCTGGGATGAGAAATGGGACTGCGATCCGTGTCACATCCCCGCAGAATGACGACACCTGGGGAAAGGGGATCACGCCGGGAGTAAATTTTAATGCCGACAGATTTCAATATCGGAGAGCGCGGCCCAGGAAATGAATTCCGCCTTTCAGCAAGCGGGGATGAATTAGTCCCCGCGCTAAGAGATGAGTTAGATGTCTAGAAAAAGAGAATGGCTCTTTTTATATATATAGCTTTTGTCTTTATACATTTTATTATTTCGCTCGCTCGCATAGTGAGAAGAGAGAGAGAGAGACACAAGAGAGATACGCGGCTGCGTCTTTCCCAAATCTCGCTGCCTGTCCCGTATCATGAATTATGCACACAGCGCTGGTGGGCCATCATTATCGGCCTCGGTCAATCCGCTGCTGGATGAATGCTTCCTCAATCCGCTATCATCCCTCAAAATCCTAAGATGTCAAAATCCAAACAGCATCTTCATCGTCATCATCGGTAGCCATGATCAATCCACTGCTGAAAACAAGCCTTCCCAGGCCACCGCCGCCACCCATCTCTCGCGACCTTACGATTTAACAATCCACCGAGCACCCGTACACGACCAAGATTTTGTCGCTCCATCTCCACGAGACGGGCCTCTGATGACACTTCTCAATTCCTTGCCTTGCCACTCCCGTCATTTTTGACCACGGTGTGCACGGTGGGTTAGCGCACTGGTCAGCGCATTTCTCGATGAACCCGGCGACCTGAGTTGCACTCCCGCCCATAATTTCTAATCGATGTTGAATAAATCGACGGCCGATGTTTAGAGCACGTGGCCTCATGCACGCCGCGTGCGTGACAGCTCTTTAATACCGCGTAGCATAAAGCTTAAGTGTCGACTTATCTCCGGATTTAATTACGTTTGGTGCATTAACCGGCTGACACCGGCGTCGCGTTACATCTGCCCGGCATCATCTCACCTTCGCAAGCTCCAGGGCACTCATCTCTGCTTGTGATTATCATCACCACCACCATTATTATTATTGCTACTGCTCTGCAGTTGTTTGATTGCCCCTGCACCTGCCTGGCGCCTTTGGCGTTGGGACAACTATATTGCGCAGATAATTACGGCGGAGCTCCACGTGGTTGATGACCGGGTAAATGTTCTTCAAATTGGAGCGAATGGATGACAGCTGGCGCGCGCCGTGCCCTTCCGTCGCAGGTAAAACACTAGGAGGGGGGGATTCGATTCGACAAATGAACCTTATGGCGGGACCCCGGGGTCCCGAATAACGGAATTCAAAATCGTATTTAATTTATTTTTGGCAACTCCGTCCCACCGCGAAACATAAACGCTGCGACCCACCTGGCGCGGAACATTCTGTTGCCATGTCATGTCCGAGGACGAATGCCCAGAAGAGCTGAACAAGCGAATGCACTCCATGCTCGGGTATGGGCAGGATCATAAGTATTATCCAAAGCTGCTCAAACTGCCTACACGACTTAAGTCCTTTATTTGTCATCACGGTATGCATAATACAGTGAAACTGCTCTCTCGTATCTTGATTATTATTATTTGTGACCTACCAATATCTGCGGCCAGGATCAATCGACGAAAATCCTATTATCTGCAGATATTTAACAGATGAGATGCGTTGCACCGTTAATTCCTCCTGTCTGATAATACTTCTCTTGTCCGTATGCATCTGTGCAGATAGGTTTTTGTTTGCGGTTAAGCCGTAGTCCCCACATACCGCTCGTATCAATGCGGATAAGAGGAGCGGCGACCCACTACTCTGTAGAGTAACATTGGTATAAACGCTTGATACAACATGAACAGCGCATTGAAAACGCGTACTATTTTATGTACTGTTTCCAAAGCGTGTTCACAAATCCACACCGAGAAACACGATGATTGGCAGATGGGGTGTAAACTATTTTTCGATAGTGTATTTAAATAGAGGTACTGCAGGTAAGTGGTTTTCAGTTTTAAGGGCATAGTTTAACAAGACAACACTTGCCACCATCCTTTCAGTTTTAAAGGCATAGTTTAATAAGACAACACTTGATAAGGTATTAAAGCTTTCGTGACTGCATAAAATTACTCATTGGTTTTTTCGGTAAAGTCACGTATGTAGAAATACAATAAAATTATATTAAAACGAAACAATCACGACGTTTCGATCACAACACAAGCGATCTTCATCAGGTGTCAAGAACAAATCATGGAAAGAACAAATCATGGAGGTAAATACAACAAAAAAGATGAGAGACGAGAATTTAACAAACCTAAAAAACATTATGTGAAGCCGCAAGATGAGCTGCCACTCTCTTTCTGCCCCCCCCCCCCCCCCAACCTTATTTCCTATTTAAGCTGCTGTTCATCCCTCTCTCTCTCCTTGCCTCTCTGTCCGTCTTTCCTACTGACCATGTACCTCGTATTTTCACTCTGTCTATGCTGTTTTTTTGCAATCCAGAAGTTGAACACGAAATTTAACACTCTTCTGAAATTCGTGGTCCGCCAGGAAGTGTCTATGTTGTTGGCCTGATTGGCTGTGCTTCACATGTTTTTTAGGTTTGTTAAATTCTCGTCTCTCATCTTTTTTGTTGTATTTACCTCCATGATTTGTTCTTTCCATGATTTGTTCTTGATACCTGATGAAGATCGCTTGTGTTGTGATCGAAACGTCGTGATTGTTTTGTTTTAATATTATTTTTTATTGTATTTCTACATACGTGACTTTACCGAAAAAACAATGAGTAAGACAACACTTGCCACCATCCTTTCAGTTTTAAAGGCATAGTTTAACAATACAACACTTGCCACCATCATTCAAACCCATTGGTGAAAAAGAGCAAAGTTTTTGTTTACATTATAATATAATCTTGATTTAAAGCTTTCGTGACTGCAGGAATTCATATTCTTTAGGTCTTTCGGTAAAGCCACGTAGATAGCACAAATGATAAAAAATAATAAAAATATCACGACGTTTCGATCGCAACACACGAAATCGTCATCAGGTGAAAAATATAGTGGGAGAGCTGCTGAGAATGTAAATATTCACAGCAGCTCTCCCGCTTTTATTATTTGTTCTATCTACGTGGCCTTACCGAAAGACCCAAATAATATGAATTCCTACAGTCACGAAAGCTTTAAGTGAAGATTGTGGTGGATGGTAGCGCCTCTAGTGGCTGCAGAGG